TTGTTACATTTGTGTTGTATTTGTGCTGATAAATAAATAAAGGGAGACTAGTATAGATCTATTTCAAGCTATTTAGCTCTCATCAGCTAGCCATTACCCTTACTGCGATTAGAATATATATATATAATGTGTTAATAGATATGTATCTGTTAAAATTTATCTATATTCTGTAGCTCAAAGTGTTTTGATTAAATCAGACCTTCCTAATAATGATAACAATGCTTCCTAATAAAGCGCCTAATCTTGCTACCTCAAGAAGTCCTAAATCAGTCCTAGCTACTTTAGGTTATAAAATAAATCTCAGTAATGAATTTCTCTCCTTCTTACTTTTCATGATACTGTTTCTTTTCCTAATAATATTATTATTACTGAGTACAGGCAATTCTCAGGTTACAGGTACTTGTTTAGCAAGCCCTTAAAGTGATGACAGTGCTGAACAAATGGTATGTATACTCTGAAGCACCTTCCTGTGGCCCCATTAGTCCTCAGAGGCCCCACCTGCCCACTCATATTCTACCATGGCCCATGGCACCCCCCCCCCAACCCGTCAGAGAACCCTCCTTGTCTGGGAATCCTATCATTTCCTGCTTAATGACCTGCTCAGATCTGAGGTCATGACAGCAATTGGGATTGCCAAAATTACTGTTGCATAGCAATGTGGTCATGTGATGTCATGCTTTACAACCACACCGTTAATGATGGAAATTATGGTCCCGAGCCAAGGACCACCTGTATCTTATATTCCTAGAACAACCACTTTCAAATATACACAGCTCATTCCTTTTTAATTTTTGTTTGATTTCTTAATTACATACTATACTTACTAAATTATTAAAAAATATGGTAAAATAACTATAGCAAAGCTGTGTTCTTTCAAGGTAATGATAACCACATATAATTCTAGCAAAAAGGCCAAACAGAAAAAGGCGCTGCAGTTTACAAACTCCCCTCCCTTAAATCCCAATTTTAATTCTCTGTCTTTTCTGTTAGTACTCTCATATAAATTGTAGCCTCATCTGAATGTTGCATTTACTTACAAATATCACTCTACTCACATTTCAGACAGTTGTCATGCCAACAATTAATTCCAACTGGCAGTCCTTAATGTCTTAAAATAAATATTGTTTAAAAATGCAAAATCCTATTGATCCTTACATGACACAGTTTTAAATAACAGAAAGGGCCAGGATTATAATTCCAGCGACAAAAGAACAGTAAATACCATACAATAGCAGCCCTTGTTTTAAAAAATATGTCATAATCTTCTTCAGCTAATGCCAACAGCTAAAGAAGAATCGGGGCAGTTCTGGAACAATGTTTTCCTTGTATGTTAGTTACGGTAACCAGATAAAGAGTCGCAGAAAGATGAACTAATTCTACAGTACTGTAAAACTACATTGACAGAATACATAAAGACAAATCTTACAAAAATATACAAAAGTTATCATTAAAAATAAAATAAAAATCTAAATATTTAAAATATACAAACCGTATGGAGAGAATAAAGATCAATGCAATGGTAGGTTGGAATGTGACTAGTAATAATGTTCTGTGAAAGCCTTATTAACTAAATCCATTATGGGTGGTAGATTTCAGTATATATGGGCTTATCTGGTTTTGATCATGACATATGGAAAACTGCCATGACTTTAGTCTGTCTGTAATGTCACACTAAAAACCATGAATTAGCAAATGAAAGGAAGAAAAAATATGTATTTCACTTGTCTGTGAAATTAACAGCAAGGGGAGGAATGTAACAGATTTGAATTCAGGTAGCCTAATCTTGAGAAATTGAGTTGAAGGATACATACAAGAAAGTGGAATATTTCCTTATGATAATCACGAATGAAATGATAAAAAACATGTATCATCTAGGTTGCTGTGAAAAGCAGGAGTATATAGATTTGTGATAAGTGCATGTTGTTATCTGATGAATGAAGATACTGGAAGAACTATGGGTGAATTTGGAGGCTATCTGTGCAACATTATACATGAATGCAACCCAAGGCTATAAGGTGACAGAACAGATGGAAGGGAATGAGATAAGACCAAGGAATTAATGCCAGTGATCACTTTTTGGTCAGCATCTGCTGAGAAAACACTCTCTGTGTTTCAAATACATGCTTGAAGCATAAGCCTAATTATACATATGAACAGATGGAAAAAGGAATGGAAACAAAAGCACGACTGATTTAACTGTTTACCATAAAACTGTGAAAAGAGCCGAGGTGGCGCAGTGGTTAGGGTGCAGTACTGCAGGCCACTTCAGCTGACTGATCTACAGTTCAGCGGTTCAAATCTCACTGGCTCAAGGTCGACTCAGCCTTCCATCCTTCCGAGGTGGGTGAAATGAGGACCCAGACTGTGGGGACAAGTTGCTGACTCAATTTGCTAAAAAATTTGTAAACTGCTTAGAGAGGGCCGAAAGCCCTATGAAGCGGTATATAAGTCTAATAAATAAATAAATAAATAAATAAATAAATAAATAAATAAATAATGAAGGATACAAAGGTAAGAAAGATGTTCTGAATGTAGGACAAAGCATAATTTAGTAACATCAAGAGTGAATTTTGGAGAGAAAAGCAGAATGACCACTGGAAGATGCATTTATGTCCCATGCCAAAACATACATACAAGTTCTAACAGGAAGCACAGAAAATGTGCATGCATAGAATGTCTACAGAAAGCACTTAGAAAACAGCAAAAAGAATTATGCTAATAGTGCCAGAAGTGAATCTATCTCTGGATATTTGAGTTGTATGCAAATGAGAGAAGAAAGGGAAAAGTAATGACTCTGGTCAAATCAAATGCATATAAATAAATATTGTATAATTCAACATTGTTTATAGCAGTTTATAGACTTACTCTTTGTGCCAATCGTAGATCTGGTGAATGTTTCCAAACACAATCTTGTCTTTTCCTTTCATATCTTCAGGAATACCTTTTTCTTCTATTCTTTTCATAAATCCCTTGATAAGGAAAAAATCTATATGAATGATTGAGCAATGGCAGACTGGAGTAATAATGTTCATTTTTCAAGCAAACAAAATAAACTATTCATTGTAATAGTAGATTTTTATATGCAAGACATAAAGAGTATATTTGTTCCTTTATTAATATTTTAGAGATGTGTCAAGTTTAGATGAGCATTAAGGACTTGCTGACAACTTCTTTAGATGAGTCTAAATCAGTTAGGCTTTTAAGAATATTTAGAATGGCTTACAAAAAGTCAGATTGTAATTTAAAAGTTTCCCAATATTAGCCTTTTACTGAAAAAAAGTTTATATCTAAACTAATTTATTTTAACTTACCTCCACCACAGTTCCTAAGTCCTTGACATAATCTTTTTCTGTTTGTATCAGTTCATTTAGAACAAACCTAGAATTCAAAAGAGGTGTATATAGGTTTTACAAGGCCTCTACTCCAAGCACTAACCAAAACCAAATTTAAATTAAAGTAGTGTGACTAGTTAGACAATAATACAATTCCCATTAAGCAAGAAATTCAGAATAGTGCCAAATTTGAATATCCTCATTCTGAGAAGATGAGCTGAGAAGAAAAAAAGGCAGGGTCATAGAAGCTGGAGGAAAGCATACTTCTCTTCTACTGACTTATCTTTCTTAGTATGTAAAAATAAAGACTTAGTGAAGAACTAGGTTTAGATTGCTCCCATTGTCTTCAGCAGAAGTGATTGCTTTTGAATGTCTTATGTCTTCAGCAGGCTTTTAATAGAACTAAGGCAAGGCCAGTGGCTAGAAAGCACATGCTGGCTGATGTCTACACTTTTCTTGTCGTACAGTACTTGATTCTTATATTATCACTCTTACAAATGGTGGGTTCCTACTGGTTCTGCCCGGTTCTACCAAGTGGGTAGTAACTCAACCTGCCACGCCCCCGAACTGGTTTTCTTGTTAGCGCCAATGTTTTTTGCTTCTGCGCATGTGCATTTTTTTAGTAGTGTGCATGCATGTCCCTGAGCGAACCAGCAGTAGCAGCAGCCAGAACTTGTCTCTGTTACAAATGTATACATTTTAGACTCCACTCAATTTTATACAAATAGTTTTTTCTAGCGGAATAAAATTTGCTCTCCTCTCCACTTATGGATATAGCAAATCCATGATGAGAGCTAGTTTGGTATAATGGTTAAGGTGCTGGCTTAAAACCAGGAGACCATGAATTATAGTGCCACCTTAGTCATGAAATCTGGCTGGATGACTTTTGGATAGTCTCTCTCAGCCCAACCTACCTCGCATGGTGATTGAGGGGAAAAGAGCAATAGGAAGGAGTATTAGGAATGTTTTCTGCCTCACCTCAATTTACTTACAAAGTAACAAAAGACAGGATAAAAATCTAAGAATAAATAAATTTGCTCTCATTAATATGGGTTGTGGCTAGAGAGGTAGTTTCTTCCAATATATATTTCTAAACTACTAGTGGTAGATGGCAGCAGATGTAGAGTTGCAAAACAGATCAATAACGAACTAACTTACACCCTGCCTCTCATTGCTTTGGCCTTTTGTTCCTCTTCGAGGTTTCTTGAAGGAGGGGTTGAAGGTGTCACAATCTCATTCAAACATCCAGTACTATCCTTTAAGCTTCCTCGGTAGGAGCCCCCTTCCAATGTCTTAGGGAAAAAGGAGGAAAAAGACAAAAGATTAAACTAGAAATTTTAACCACTAACTAGATAACACATTTACCTTATTTTTTTCTGATATTATAGATTTATAATAATTAATCATGAATAAAATATTTCAGTATTTGTTTGATGCTATAGGAAAACACTTTTCGGCATAACAGGAGTGTTGTCTGAATAGCAATTCTTCTAACTGAATGGATAATATGTTTTTCCTCCCAGGATCAGATGCCTGTATGTAAGCAGAGATTAAACTAAAGTTCCCCAGTTCCCAAAAATTACAGAAAATCGAATTAACAAGTCGAAAAGTTGAGCAGAAATCTAGATACATGAAAAGGGAAGAAAGTAGAAGGCTGATATAAAATCATAGACACAAGGTTAATTTTGCAAGGAATTAAATTAAAACAGTTATATTATAGACAGCATCAATATTGAGTTGCTGTCACTTTTCTTTCAGCTAGCTGAGTATTTGTGATGTTTAATTATTAAAAAGCGTCATGTAATACTGTTTGGTTTTAAACACAGTCCTTGGAGCTCTTTTATTCTGTTCAATAAGGTTTGTTACTAAACATTTTAGCTAAGATTTTTGTTCTTGTTCACATTCCTCGTTTCATTGTACAGTCTTCATTTATACCTAAACTGAAGTTCTTTAATGGAAGGTGAAACATTAAAATGAACACATGGCTTCATAAACACTACCAAATATCTTTGAACCAAAGTTTCCAAAACTAACTCTATAAAGGCAAAACAAGAAGATGATGTGACTACCATACATGAAACAATAAACATCACTTACAGCAAACATTTAAAACAACTAACATGTTTGAAAACATTTTCATAACAGCGTTTCTACGCATTTTATATCAGGTCGCATTCATATTTTTTTTCACTTCAAAAAAGGTGTGATGACGAGAAAGCTGCAATCACATGCTTAGAGGCCTATCGAATAAGGCATACAATGTCCGAGTCAGCATTGATCAATTTTACAAAGATGTTACCTCAGTTAATAACTAAAAGGACTACAGAACACATGTTTGGTTCAAATGTGCAGAACAAGGACAAGAAAAGCAGGGTCAGATAGCACAGAGACTAGTTGATTTTCCGCGTAGCTAGGCTATAGTTTTCTCCAGTAAATCTCAGGTGTCTACACTTACCAGCTTGCTTTTGACCAATTTTTCTATTGCACTGACAAGATCCGCAGCAGTTGGCACATCAGAGCTGGTCTGTCGAGAAGCTAGCAAAGAGGAAGACTGCAAGACACCAGTTGGCAAAGGAACAGGAGGTTAGCAGGAATGAGAAGAGGAAAGCTATTAGCAGTTTGAGGTACATACATTAGGTTTAAAGCAAGGAAAACATGGCGGGAGCATGAAGAGTTTGTGGGGGATGAGAAAGACATATACAAGGCACAGGACTCAACAACAGACTGGCAGCCCCTCCCCCCAAAATCCTGTTCTGAAGCTGCTATTAGAATTTATGCCCATGATGGTTGGAAGTTTTTTTTCTACAAAATGCAACATAAAAATACCATGGAGAACAGGTTTCTTCTTGCTTACATATTTAAAGATGTAAATAGTGTTCTTCTGAACCAGCAGATGCTAAATATGTAAAGTATTTGAGGATGGGGGGAAGAAGGAGGCTTTGCTTCTTCTAAGCCTACAGTAGATGTGTTTACTATGTTAGTTTTTATACTTAAAATAGCAAAAGGAAAAGGTTGAATCAAGTATTTTTAGTCCGGTATTCTATCCTCAAAAATCTTTCTGTACTATTGCTGAATGCTGCTAGGTATTCAATACATAATTTAAGATTAACAACAAACCAAAAGAGACTTAAGACTATTACTTCTTTTCACTGACATCTTTGAAAACGTGAGTGGGGAAGAGTGATAACAATGTCAGTTGCTACCATCTTTATTCCATTAAAACTATCAAACAAGAATCTACAAAAGAAAGCAAAACAGCTTCAGTTCATGCTATGATTTTTGTGGGCAACATTTCAAAGAGCACTAATTTTTTTAATAATATATCCAGAACTGTTCCCCATCCATTTTCTACCTTGGGAAAATAATGTTTGAAGCAATTACTCTCCAATTCATATATTCTATTTACTTGTTCATTAGTTTTCTAGTAGTAAAATATATGGTTGCTGAATGTGTAAACATAGTTTCTAAAGGTTAGTTAAATCCTGGGACATGGCTATTTTAAAAAGAAATAGAAAATATTTCTGGAGCAAGAAGAATTTATGGTACCTGAAAAGAACAACTGGGGCCTTATACAAACTATTCATCTTCCTTTCTTGCACACACATTCACGTATACAAATTTGGGGATATCAGACTCACTTTGAAACTTTTTTAGCATGATTTAGATCTCCAGTGAAGAACTGTATATGTGGCAATGTGAGTTTCTGCTTTGAGGGTACTACTAACAAAGAGGCACATGTAGTGGGATGATTCTGACTCCTAAAATACTCAAAAGCAATATTGCAGGCTCTCAGAAATATTTTTCCCTATGGTCCAATTCTTCTATGCAAAAAGAAACTGAACGTAGTCAGAAAAACATATTATCAATCTGACAATTGTGTGACACCTAGATGTGGGTCACCTGTGTTCTTGGGGGTAAATGGCTCTTTATAAACTAATATTTACATTACAACTTAATGATCTCCACGGGTGTAGACTTCCTTGAAAGAGGAGTAAAATAATCAAAAGTTCAAGAAAACTGTAGTGAAATTAATAAGTGTGGTTGAATTGGACCCAACTAGTGACAGGCAAATAACTCTCTCAATAAAATAGACTATTGTACAAGCATTAGGCAGCAGTGTCAGGTGATAGTTTGCTAAGAACTGTTGCTGAGTGATTGCTTATTCCCTAAGAATATAGCGTGCTAGGAATTTTGTCTATCTTCTCTCATTGATTCTACGTGATTGATAGGCTAACAACAAACCATACTAAAGCAATTCCAGGTTATGAAAAAGATTACTTTTACATGGAATGTAGAAGAATTAATGCTTACTAATAATAGAGCCGTGCAAGATTCAAAAGTTATCCAGAAATGCCGTACCATTTCAGATCATATGCAAGCAGAGTATTGCTACTTGTTAGAGAAGCCTATATTTTTTCAGAGTTCTAGGTCAACCAGAGTCACAGGATCTAAAATACTTGCTCCAAACAGTTTTCAAAGTGAGTGCAACCATAATGGTTAAAATATTTTTAAAGTAGAGTGGCTGGCAAATCTCTTTTCCCTTGGGAAAGTAAGGACTTGTAATTTATTTTAATTCTTTGGCTGTATACAGACAGCCATGCAAAATCACCATTTGTTTTCACTACAGTTCATTCAATAAGCACTGTGACTGAATTCAAATGCTACACTAAGCCATAAACCATGTATACAAACTGCAGTGGCTGAGTGAACACAACCAATTACATTATGACTTGATGCATGATGCATGAACTCAGACATGTAATCCTTCCAAGAAAAATCCACAAAATTGACTATTCTTCAGTCTTCTGATCAGATCGGCGGTTCAAATCTCACCGGCTCAGGGTTGACTCAGCCTTCCATCCTTCCGAGGTGGGTAAAATGAGGACCCGGATTGTTGTTGGGGGCAATATGCTGACTCTGTAAACCGCTTAAGAGGGCTGAAAGCCCTATGAAGCGGTATATAAGTCTAACTGCTAACTGCTAAAGACAGCTCTATTTTCTCTAATGCTTTCCCTAACCCCAAAGTTATGCAACATATCTAGATTATAAATGAAGTGCTCCAATCTTTAGCAATCCATGAAAGTACACATTTCAAACATGAAAGCCTTTGTGGTTGGTGTTTAGTACCACAGAAATATTTAATGTGCTAGCAATCAAAAGAGTTGTAAGAAACCGAAAACAATATTGGAAAGTTCCACTCAAGAGCAAGGGGCAATTATATCATTCTCTGTAGAACATTCTGTCAAAATGACCTTCTCTAGAAGTTTATTGCTCCAGATAACGGCATGGTTATTAATTATTACCTCCTCCCAATAAGAAGTAGATTATGGTGAGAAAGAATAAGAAATTACCCTCCAGGAGAAAAAATTACATAGTCCTGCTGTTTTTCTTGCCAATCTATGGTGAATTCCGACTAAATAACTTACTTTAGGATTTGTTAGAAAAGTTGCTGTAGAATTATTATGTTATTTCTCACAATGCAAGATGCCTCATGAATTACTAGATAAAGACTAAAAATGTTTTATATGAAAAATAGACCATTTTGACATATTAATAAAAAAGATGCTCAAGGGAAGAATAACACTTCTGCTAGTTGACAATCAATTCTAGATAACTGAAGTAAAAGAAAATTAATGACTAAAAGATACGAGTAATATACAAAAAGAGAATGGTGGCATCAAATTCTTAAATTATGCATGACAAGTTGGAGATGATGAGAGCTGTTGTTCAAGATCCCTTGAAGATCAATTACTATGAAATAATGGTTATCAGCTACTTTTCTTTGGATCCAAAGAGGTTCACCAAAAGTTTAAGAATTCCCACTGACAAGGTCAATAGGAGAAAATACACTGCCATGAAACAATCCTTTCCTTTTTTTGGTGGTTGTAGAAAAAAAACAAACCCCTACAACACCGTTTATGGAAGAAGATGTAATAAAATAATGCCCATAGTGAACTCAACATTTTCCCTATAATGGAATTCAGAAGAGTTTTACTGTATCCAGAATGTTCTTGGTCAGCGACTGAACTTTAATAAACCACGAAGAGGTCTGACTGCTAAGAAGTCCAAAAGTCCAAACAAAATAAAGAAAAAGCATCATTTAATACCCATCAAAAGTATGAATGTAAAAAAAATCCTCAAACTATAAATGTAGGCAGGTTAAATTATAAAGACTTAAGCAGGAAATGGACATCAATACACAAATACTGTATACTGTATAACTAAGATTTTGAAAGTAGATGGTTCAGTTCCATTTTTTTCTATGAAAACATCAACAAATAAAATAAAACCACATATAGTAAACTTGATGTTTTAGATCCTAATGGAGTCCCCCCCTTTCTTTTTAATAAAGTTATTCCAAGGAGAAATGTAGATTAAAGCCTTACCATCTCATCTTGTGTAGGATCATTATCAAAAATCTTCATTGGAGGAGGAAGTGGTGTATGAGATTCTTCATCTGGTTCATCTTCACCCCATCCTTTCTTGCTCTTCTGAAAGCAAGAGAATCATGTTTACAAAGATGTGAACAGGTTAAAGGAAATAATCTGTCCAAATAACTGACCAAGGATGAAAAAATAACCCATAGAAAAGGAAATCAGCTTTATGTTTCATTATATGAAAATCAATTTCAATTCATTATACTAAAATAAAATAAATGAATACATTCTTGCTTCTCCCTGACTAAGGCAACTCCCCCTACAGCCTTCTTGAGGATTGGGAGAATACCGTGGGACATAGTGATAGAAACATTAGGGAAAACAGGAAAAAAAACCAACCCCACACTGTTCTGCCATCTTCCTTCTATAACAGGGCTGTCAAACTTACAGCCCCCGGGCCGGATGCGCCACACCCTGGCCATGCCCACATCCGGTTTAGTGAAGGGGGAAAAAGTCATGATACATCATGGGATGCTATTATGATGACGTGAGTTTAACTCTTATAGAACAGAGGTGTTCTATAAGAATCTTCTATTTGCAAAAGAGTAAGTCTCGAGTCACCCCATAATACGGAGCTTATTATAATAAGGCAATAGTGTATGTGAGAATGAATTTTCACACATTTACTTCCATTGAATAAGGGCTACCCATTGCTTCATTCAGGTAATATTCATGGCAACAAAAGGGCAACTCACTGAGTTCCTGTCATCAGTTCCCAGTCTCAGCATTGAACTGGGGTTCCCCCCCCCCCATTTACCGTGATATGCTTAAGACGGGGGGAAAACACACCACTTCAAAAATCACTACCCATGCAGTGTTCCTGCCACACTTGTAAAACAGAGCCAACTTCACATGAGGGTGGGACTGTGGTTGTTCAAGACTACTTTGAAGGTGGTGGCTAGAAAAGTAGGTGCAGGGAAGCTGCTTCTTCTCCTTTATAGCAAGGCACCATACCTCTGGAGAGAAGAAAAAGGAACACTGCTGGTAGAAAAAGCAACCTTCTGAAACATCTTTCAGAAAATTATTATTCCTACTTCAGCTTAACAAGAAAAAAAAAGAAAAAAGAATGATGGCTACTGGGGAGGTACCGCACTTTCTAGTGCCCCCAATGCAGCAATCCAACTGGAGCTTTTCAGGTTACTAAAGTCCTTGAGACTCCTCCTCTCCCCAAGCCAGAATGGTCACATAATCATTTCTTTTGTTTTCCAAATGAAAACACCACTCCCCTATTGGACCACTTGCTTCAGATTCTTGACTATGGCTGATAGGTAAACTTGGCACTGGGACAAAAAGGATGTGTGGATGTAGTCTACATTAGACTGTCAATCATGTCTATTAATCAACTATTGAAAAGCAGAATAGCAGAAATGAAAATGTCAGGCTCAAGTTTGTACTCTTAAAAATAATAATAATGGCAAAGTGTACTTGTACCTCATCGGCACTGTCTCCCTGAGGCGTGGTTTCATCTCCAGGTTTGGGGGATCCTAGGTCAAAGCTCTTCCTTCCTTCACGTACTTTCTTCTGTTTTTTGATGTTGCTCTCAGCCTTCCCACTGTTCAGCCGACGTACAGGACTCGTCAGCCATTTTTTCAGGGTGTTGGTTGAACGCTTTGGACCAGGGGAGCTCTGGATGGAATTAAGGGACGTGTGGGGCTGTAAATTAGCCACAGAATCAGATTTTGCTCCATTTTCGTTGGAGGAATAGGCATCTGCCAGAACAAGAAAATAAGGATGCTAAGCAACAGTTGTCTTAGGCTTGATAATCGCTCTGAAAATAGTGCCTGCAAATTGTTGACAAGGTTAAAATTAGAAGAGTACATGCTACATCAGATCTGAATTCAATGTACTCACTTCATTTCCCATTTTTATAGATGATTCCCCTCCCCTTCATGCTTATCTGTTTTCCACTTGAAAAACAATCTAAATTTTTATTGTCTGATACATGTGGCACCTATACATTCAGAAAAGAAGTTTTCAACAGGGGAACTATGGAGACTTCTTAAGTTCACAGTCTAAGTACTTTTCCTGCCGAAAGGAAGAAAAGCTACTTGTAACTTTGCTATCAGAACTGTGGTTTTTCTGCGAAAATGGAAGTCACTTAGGGATGATACATCTATAAGCTTAACTGATTCTACCTACTCTATTTTCCTATCACTGTTATTTTCGTCCACACAAATCAGCCTTAAAACTGGCAAAAGATAAGCAACTGCTGAAAAGGTTTCCACTGTGTTATCTTCTGTTTGATAAACCTCAAACTTTTTCCACTTACAAAATTCACATGACTAAGAAGGGGTGGAAAGAGAAGAATCCAAACTATTATCAGACCGCAATTCTAAGATTGTTTAGTTTTCACTCCATAGATCATTTTATTTACCGTACTTCGTTTGTTTTTTTCTGCTCCAATTTACAGAAAGACCTTTATCCCTCCCTGAAAGAAGTGTTATACTTTGAAAAGTTTCAGCAACAGTATCCTTTGCCATACCACTTCAAACAGCTGGTTAAAACTAGCAGTTACTGAATTAGGCTATAAACACCAAAATAAATGCCAACATCTGAATGCCTGGCAAGCTGCTAAATTGGCACCTCTGTACAATAGAACGTTGTTCATCAGGATAGGAGGCCTGCTGTAAATCAAGCTAGACTTGCAACTTGGAGAATAGCTTTTATTTGTCTCAATCTCCAGTTCTAGAGATAAACAGCTAGAATGTATAATTTCATGTATAATTTCATGATTTTATGCTCCTGAATAAAACTATTGCCTACTTCAGTTCCACAGCAAACTATGCATTTAGCTACATATTATTGGACCATGTAGTTATAAAATTATCAACTGGATCTTCCAAAAATATGACTGAAAGACAAATTCTTTACAGCTATTTCTACTTTATGAGCTTTTTAAGGAACAAAAGGATTTTTTTAAAAAGTTGAATTTACAGATATTTTCTCATATTGATTTCCTTTTAGCACATAAAACATGTGAGGTATACTTTGGAAAGGCTTACATGTGTAACATAACCTTCCACACAGCAAAAAAGAAATATGAGGAAAAGTGGAGAAGGCTGTGGTTTCAGGGACGGCAATTATTTTTATATCTATATGGTTTCTACAAATATTATATATAAAACCCTTGGAACTGGTTGAGTTAAACAATGACATTCTATGCAACGTTCTGAAAAATGGGAGTAAAGAAGTTGCCTCACTTAGTAGCTACACACAATGTATTTGTGAACAATATTAGCTGATTTGCACTGTGTTTTATTCTGTTTTCACTTCATTCGCATGAAGGTACAAGAGGAGGTCATTCGGTAACTACTTTCAGAAATGTTAATAAGCCCAAAGATTCAGTCAGGATCTGTTTTTGCAGCCACAAATAAATATGAATTTAAATGATACTTCTTCTATGCCTTAAAAATACTGGTTGGAACTGAAATAGCAGCAACATTATATCCCAGGGCTCTATTTGAGATGACTTCCTCTCAAACAGGCAAATCAAAAGTACATTTCAGAATAAACATAGCTATATTTGTGATGTTATGAAATTCAGTCTTCAAAATAAAGAAATCCAAAGTCTGTATTAGGCTGCAGATAGTATCTGACCTACAAGTGTTCGTTTAGCCACTGTTCAGATACAATGGCAATGAAAAAAGTGTCTTATGACCAATCCTCACACTTATCGTTATTGCAATATTTCCACAGTCATTTGATTGAAATTCAGGCGCTTAGCAACTGTTATGCATTTATGACAGTTGCTGCATGGAGTGTCATGTGATCACTATTTATGACCTTACTAGCCAACTAACAAAGTCAATGGGAGAAGCCAGTTTCACTTAATAACAGAGTGATTCATTTAACCACTGCAGTAATCACTTAACAACCATGACAAAAAAGGTTGTACAATTGGGTACAATTCAATTAACTATTGCCAACAGAAATTCTGGTCCCAATTGTGGTCATCGGCAAGGACTACCCATATAGACAATTTCAATGTGGAGGGTAAATATTAATATTTTTGGTTTATGCACACCACATTGAGACCAAGATGATGAATTTTTGCAACTAAGAAAGTTAGTAAGTTTAAAGAAAATATAACTATCTTGGAAACAGCCATCTCTCAACTATCTGTTTTAAACACAGGAATATTTATTTAATTAATCTTATTGCTTTGTTCTAGTAAATCTACATAGTGACTTTTCAAAAATATGTAAGACAATACATATGTATATGATGGAAGAACAACCGTAAACAGAAAAGTCCTCAACTTACGACCTCAATTGAGCCCAAAATTTACATTGTTAAGTGAAAAATTTGTTAAGTGAATTTGCCCCATTTTATGACTTTTCTTGCCCACATTTCTTAACTGAATCCCTGCTGTTCTTAAATTCGTAACACAGTTGTTAAGTAAACCCAGTTTCCCCACTGACTTTGCTTGTCAGAAGGTCGCAAAAGGGGCTCACATAACTCCGTGACACTGCAATTGTCATAAATGTGAATCAGTTGTTAAGCATCCGAATGTAAATAATGTGACCATGGGGATGCGGCAATGGTCATAAATGTGAAAAATTGTCATAAGTAACTTTTTTCAGTGCTATTGTAATAAATGGTCACTAACAGTTGTAAATTGAGGACTACCTATATGTAGTGGAATGGCTAGTGCATGAGAATATCATAGTGTAAAAATGCCTTTTATGAAAAAAAGTTTACAGTGATTGTTCATATTCCAAAGAAAGTCCAAATGAGATATTACTGAAAATTTCAGATGAATTTTGAGAATCTTCTTCTATTTCTTCAACATTCAAAAATGTTAAGAACTTTTTAATAATTGTTGGTTATTACTGATATTCTGTGTTCTAAACATCATAGTTTCAATGTTTGCTTGAAAATCAAGCCAAGCACACTTCATACACACACAAAGCACTAAAAAGTACCCAAATGACATAGCTGAAAGATAGCTGAACACTATTAAAGCTTTTCTTATATAAACTTTGTGTCAAGGAGCTTTAATCTATAATGGTTGCATTACAGAATATTTAAGAACTTTGATGAAATAATTTATGTGAGATAAGCACCCATCCATTACGAACACTTCAGAAAAGCATCTGAAATGAAAAGGTTAAGTAAGGTTAGGCATTTTCTGTGCATTCAAAGCTCTGGTTATTTCTATTAACAATTGAGATTTCATATCCTGGAATAAGAAAATATTTCATTTCCAGTTAATTTAATGCAAGACACTCATTTTTTTTCTTCCCAAGGTACCACTCCCGGCTTCTCTTACTGTATAGAAAGAAGGAATGCACAAAGGTCAAAGGGGCTGACCCAGATCACCCGGGATCTCATTAAGATGAGAATAGGCCAACATTATAAAATCCATAACCTCCAAAATCCTGTGAGGATATTATTGAATATGTGACATACAACTATACATGCTTAATGGCAGTTCAAAGTTTAAAGTTAGAACAATTCCAAACTTAAACTTCAGGTAGGAATGTATAAGTTCCATTAAAGTTTGGCCAGATATCTGTGATTGACAATTGCTAAAGGGAATATGTGGACCACCTAGAACAGGGGTGTCAAACTCGATCACTGAGGACCGCAACAGGGTTGTTTGACTTTGAGGGCCCAGGGTGGGCATGGCCAGCTCACTGTCACTTGTGTCAGGGGTGTCTGTGGTTGTCCGAACACTTTGTCAGTGAAAACAAGCTCCAGAGTTCCGTTTTCGGCTGTGATCGCCTCCTGCAACGCTGTGCCAGCAAAAATGGAGCTCCGTTTTCATTGGTAGAGTCACCATGGGCCAGTCCTTTGCTGTTTCCAGGACGGCCCTGCGGGCCAGATCTAAACATTCCATGGGCAGGATCCGGCCACCAGGCCTTCAGTTTGACACCCTTGACCTAGAGTCTAAGATTACTTTTTGAAAAGTCAATTAGACTGATCCTTAATGCTAAAATGCTCATAACAAGAGAGTTCCTGATTCCAAAGGGACTTAAATACCTTCCAAGAGCTTCTGCCTCTCAAAGAAGAGAGCACCAAGGGCCCCTCATAAAAATAAAAGCCAGCCCTCCCACGCAGAAGCAACCCATCAATTCAGCATATGTCTCCCAAAATACAGAAAAATCTGATAGGAATAAAAAGAGTTCCTGTCCTGAATTCTCTAATTTATTAACTGAGGCTTAGTTATGCTCCAATGGAGATTCCAGCAGTCTTGTGGTGTGTGTGTGTGTGTTGTTCTGTAGCTATGCTTGAGCTCCATGGCTTAACAAAGAGCTCTAACAGAGTTCTGGAAAGATATGAAAAGGAATGGAAAAGGCCCAAAATGCTGTGAAACAACACAGCATGGAGGAAAGACACAGATGGCACATCTGCCGTCAATAAACAGCAACAAAATTACAGATGGGGGGGAGGAGGTCAAAGGCAAACAAGTACAGTACAGCAGCAGCAGAAAGGGGTGTAAGCAACTTTGAGTTGTCTTGTCCTGAATTGAGTTTGCTGAACAATGATATTTTTGAAGATAAATTCATGTGTAATTAGACCTGCTTCAGGCATCGTGGTTACCCATAGTTTGTTGAATAAAATATTGGCTGGTATCATGCTAACTCATAGAGAAATAAACTGTATTTTGCCTCAGCACATTGTTTGACTAAAGCAAAATCAAGGATATATAAAGAACCCACCACCTACTATTATGTTTTTCACTCCCCAAACCCTTTGAAGCAAT